TATTTGTTCCTGTACTTCACATGGTTTGTTTCCGACAGAGAGCAAAATGTTTTGTTTTGCAATGCGGGACATGATTTTTACATATAATTTAATAATATAGATACTGACAGTTTTATGTTTATGATAGCCCTCTAAGGTGAAATGAATGATCATTTATTTACATACATCTGGAAAAGCACATTTGATTTAAAAGAGAGTATTTATGTCCTCATTGTATTTCTTTTCTAGTTTACGATATTGCTAGTTGTTTCATGCTTTAGGGTACATCTATATAAAAATATATATCAAAGAAATTTGCAGCAGTGTTTGATAAACACGTATGTCTTGATCATTTCTGTCTGTTGGGCAAACAAGAACAAAGCCCAGGTAGGCCCGCATATTCTAGGCTGGAGTAATGTTCATTGTGAACATTCATGGAGACAGGATGGGCAGCTCGTGTGAATGCCTGCCATGCCCTTCCTACTCTGGGCCAGCACACAGCTCTCTGTCAGCACCAGAAGTCAGGATCCAGGAAAGGAACCCTGACTCTTGTCTTTGGACTTACATGCTGCATTATTTAATGTGCTTCGGTTTCTTCATGTGTGAAATGGGGATAAATGACAGAAACATCTTCATCAGCTTCTTGTGATAATAAAATGCGGTAATATATGTAAAACTCCTAGAATAGTGCCTGGCACATAGTAATTGCTCAAGTAAATTTTAGTTATTCCTGTTAAGTTTGCTTTGCGTATCTGTATTCTAATTCGACAGATATGGATGTTAGACTCGCCCTCACAGGGCAGTCTTATTTCTTTCACTGACGAGTTCTGGGTAGAATACTTCACCGTAGCAATCAAGAATTGATATATAACCACATTTTTCCTTTAAAAAGTCTTGTTAAAGTAAATTTACATAAATTTGTATTTTACCTTATTTGTTATCTATGCTTTGAATATTATAATTAACTTATTTCTGGAAAGTAGGATTATCCTTTTAAACAGTGTCTACATATAACAAGTGCTCATTTAGCTGGGTTAATTATGATTGTGACACAGAAACTTTACCTGATGGAAGCAGTTAACATGCTGTCTCTCTGGCTAGAGGAGGATAACGACTGATTCTGGTCCTGTGTCGTAGCACTCTTCCCAGCCTGGATGCCCCTTACCCCATGTTGATATTAGCTGGTCCCGAAGCTTGTGGGAAACGAGAACTGGCCCACCGCCTCTGCAGACAGTTTAGTACTTACTTCAGATACGGGTAAGTTTGTTTATTAGCTTGTGAGACTTGGAAATTCATCCAAGTTGTTGCATATATCAATAATTTATTCATGGCAAAATCTCAGATATTTCTAATTTTGGCTATTAATTTTAAGCAAGTTCAAAAATGTATAAAACAACTTAATATGTAAGTTACATTTTACAGCAAAGCTAGAAGTGGTAAGTAAATTGAATGTTCAGTAGATTATTAACTCTTAGTAAGGACAGAGTACCATGAGAGTGTTAATCCTTGGAGGTAAATTACTGATAACATTGGATCAGTGTGATTACCCGGTCTTGCAATGACTAGGAATCTTGATTCTCATGCCATTCCAATCAATGTGGTAGAGATGATTGCTAAAGTATACTCCTAGTACAGAAGAAGAACTTAACACATAGCAAGAAGAAAGAAAATGGTTTGTCTTTTATGAAGCAGGCAGTAGACACACAGCAGTGACACTCCCCCCGCCCAACTCAAGTAAGCATGGCTCATTCATGCCATTATACACCTTTGCCATAAAGGGCTTATCAGCTTCTTCCCCATTTATTATACTGTTATATATACTGTACTTTTTTTTTAACTTTAACTTTCCAGATGTTTAACTTAATTCAGTCCCAGCCCAAATCACTCTCCGGGGTTTGAAAATACACATCTTTTTAACTAAGCATAAATGACATTTGAACGCAGGCTCCTGTTCCCGTGCTGTGTGCAGCACAAATAGCATGTTGTGACGTGTAATGGGCAGGGCTGTCCTGAGGGACAGCTTCTCCTTGACTCTGCTTGGAACACGCACCAACTGCACTTGAGTGTCTTTGTCTCCAGACAAAAATATGTCTTTTCAGGCATATTTCAGGAGGAAGAAGGAGAAGCAACTTTTTCCTTTCCTTTTCTTCCCTTCCCTTTCCCTTCCTTTCCTTTCCTTCCCTATAGCATACAATACACCTCAAGTTTTCTGGAACAAATATTTTGCTGAGTGATTTCCTAATGACCCAGTTAAAATAGAGGAAAGTATCTGAAAAACTAGGACCATCCAAAGGAAAAAAAAAACCTCCAGCTGGATTTACAGATTTTTTAGAGGTTTCTGAGAATCAGATTTATAATTGTCATTGTGGTCTCTTAAACTGGTTTCCTCTTGTATTTTTTATGTATGGCAACGAAATTACTTTTAGATTAGTGGTGTCTGTCAGTGAGCTATGGCTGTGACTATAAAGATATATAGGACAGCAAGAAAAATAAGTGCAAATTATTTTCTAATGCTATTACAAAAAAGATCTCTTCCCTTAAGCTACACATGTTCAAAAAATGTAAACACTATTTTAAACAGGTCCATTTATTTCGATATTTAAAATTGCTTCCCTCATTTGAACAACTCCAGGAGACAAATACTACAGAATAATTTATTGATTAATATATTTTAAATACCCCAAAGTAACAAAAATAAATTAAAAGTTAATTTTAGAATAAAAAAGTATAGAGTGAATTATGCTCGTGGGGGGGTACTGAACCTGTTTTAAAAGATAAGCTGAACACAATGAACGGAAGGTCAAACTAGGGCAGAAGGGTATATGCTGACCGTTGTGCTAATTTGTAAATTTGGAACCTTTCGGCAAACCAATGTGACCTATGGGAACCAAGGCTTTCTCTGGTTCCTTTCACATCTCTGATACCTATTATGTTGAAATGGTTGGTAGCCCAGTCCTGTTCCTTTGTTTGTGATATGCTACTGCCAAGGCATGCTTAGTTGTCCTGTTCTTGGAGGTGTTTATTGGCTCATTGCAAGATTCTGATCCAGTCTGCCCCTACAATCTTACCTGGCTAGGCTCCCCAATTACTCATTTTCATTAAATCCTATATTTCCCTTATTATAATGCTCATTCATCATGCTTATGATTGATGTATTTGATGTCTGTTTTCTACACTTGTCTGTAAGCCCAGCGAAGGTAGGGGCCATGCCAGCCTTGTTCGCCATTGAGTTACAGTGCCTAGCATATGGCCAGGCACTTAATACATGTGAGATAAATATTTGTTAAATGACTGACTAACTGAATGAGTGAATGGATGGCTGAATTAGTGGCATTATATGCAACATTTGATAAAAATGACTGTAATAAGAAGCATAGGTGATTTTCCCCAACTACCACTGATAGAGATACAGAGAACTAGATGGATTCATTCATTTGTTCATTCTTTCAAGAAATATTTATTGAGTTTCTCCCATGTGCTAGTTCCTGAGAATACAGTGGGAAGAAGACTGGCAAGGTCCTTGCTTGATGAAATTTGTAACCTAGTAGGGAACTCAGACCTTAGGTAATTAGTGCCATGTGAAATTTGAGTGGAGGCACAAGATGGCAAAACAAAATCCTAAAATTAGCTTTATCCTCCTATACTGTTACTGCTGCCATTGCTGGTTTTCTCCTCTGGCTGGAATTAGTGGTGAGTGGAAAGACACTCCTAATTGCCTCCACCAGTTACATACTCAGTCATCCACCTCCCTCACAGGCTCAGAAGTACTGGCCAACTGTTCATTGTCATTCTCATGGAGGCAGAGATCAGGGTTTGTTCAATGGCAAATTATTCTAAGAATTCCTTCAAGATCTCCAGGGATGCCTCAGCTCACTGTGTGGGGAGCTCTGCAGAAGAGAATTCCATCAAGGCATGGGTCAAAGACTATGTCATTGGATAAAAAAGGGTATTAGATAGGCAGTAATTTCATCCATTGGGAAAGTAAGAGTACTACTATTATATGCAGCAACTTTGTAATTAAAGCTAAAGCTAAAACCAAAGAACATCCTCAGGGGCAAGTCATTGCTGTTGTTTGGATTTTCTTTTCTTTTATTCTTTATCCAATATAAATTTTATTGATTTTTAATTAAAGAAAAGACCCCAAAAAGGCATAAATATAGTCTCTGCCATTTGCTTGAATTTTTTTTCTCTCCCTCATATTTATTTAACTTTCTCATCATATTTTACTTCCTTTTCAAATCGCGTTGACCCAAGATCAAGACATTCAATGAAATTTTTACATGTTAAGTTGCATACCCAGATATGTAAATATTGAAAACATAACTCAGTAGTATAACAAAGATTGGTGTGACCAAGAGATTTTGCTCTAGTATTAGGTTTTGATTTTACTATTTGTTTTTGGTTTTAGAAATAGGTTGGATATTCTTTCTTTACCTGTATTAGTTATGGGTGACTTGGAGCTATGCATTTACTGTCTTCAAAGTTTCTGTATTGATTTCCAACTTTATAGTACCACACAAATCAGTGACTTCCTGCAAAAGTGCCAGATAATGAAAGCAACACACAACAATACCAGCATGATTATTTATCTTCCTGATTTAATGCTGTGAAAGTGATCTGAATGGTCCCAAAAGAAAAATCTTATTCTTCCTTAGGTATCTATTTTATAGCAATCTTTATTTTTCTAACATTCTCATGATGTTTTCTACTAAATATATTTTATGTAAATATTATTAAAAGACCACAGCTATTTATCTACATGAGACTGTATGAGCTATAGCAATCTAAATGCAGTCTTATCTAGTGTGTCTGTTTATACATATGTGACAAATTTGTAGAATGGTTCATTTGTTCATTCAATTAATATTTATTGAGCACTGTCCGTGTGCCATATGCTGGTGATGCAACTATGAAATGAATAGACCCGGGTCTTGTCCTCCCGGTAGCTTATAATCTAGTATAGGATTTAAACAGGTAGATGTTGTCTAACAAGATAGTTTGATGAGTGCTATTATAAGGGAAGTAAAGAGTCTTTGAGATAGAAGTAAAAGAGAAGTGAGGGGTGGGGCTTAAGTGGGGAATGTATTCCAGGCAGAGGAGGACAACAGGCACTAACAGGCATGTTTCGTTAACCTAAAGTGCACATTATAGTACGGATAAGCCTGAGGTGTCAAGATGATGAGGCTGGAAAGATAGACAGGGTCTGATCATAAAGGGCTTCTAAGCAGGGGAATGGCATGATCACAGTTGTGTTTTAGAAGCAGTCCTCAGTCAGCGGTTTGGGAAAGGGCTTAGGGAAGGAAGACTGGAGACAAGGAGATCAGTTAGAATATGGTGCCGGGTGATGATAGCGTGAGTTAGAAAGTGGTGTGCAGTTATTGGAAATTGGGCAGAGTAGTGGCTGCATGGAGTTTGATACTCAGGCGCAATATGTGCTGTAATCTTTTGTGTTCATGATCCCTTAAATTGTGCTCAGCAATTTATTGACATATTAATATATTTGCATTGAGTGTTCAGGCTGATTTAATTTACCTACCAAATTCCTCTAGTAATACCTGGGCTCTTGTCGATATCCATTGAAAGAGCTCACTTACTAACAATATGGCATGCTATAATATAATGTACTTGAATTCAGATGTGCTCTGAATTCAAGCCAAGCCTCTGCCTAAATATTTGCAGTAACAAGAAGTTCATTATTTCCTGAGGCAATCTGGTTCAGAATTAAGATTCTAAATCTGCTTGCTTTGGAATCGCACTGAAATAATTCTATTTCCTCATCCACCTGCTAGCTGTTCTTAGACATCTTTTCTTCCTGTTACATTTTCCTGGATATTTTAGTATTCGATTTTTTGGCCTTGCTTTGCAGATTCCTTTCCTTCCTGATCATCTTCTTTCCATGGACTCGGTTTGGTCTTAGCCTCAATGACATGTGGCCATGAATTGGCCTTTAGGATGTCTAGGTTCACCCTTAGGCTTTTAGGATCAGAGTTGCCATTTGGGGTTAATCTTCAACCCAGTCCTTTTGCCTGTGAAGTGAGACTAACAAGGAGTACGGCTCCCATTAGAAACCATGATTAAACTAGTAGCAAATTAATTAGTAAATAATAAACTTGTAGAAATATTTAGAAAAGGGTGAGGATGGATATTGAAAGTGATAGTTCAAGCACATTTCATTGCCTAAAATTTTGCATCATTGTTTTCTAAGTAAGTTTAGTGAAATGTTACTTTCACTATGAAATATTTCCTTTTTAAGATATTCAATTTGGGTGGCATAACTACACAGAGAATGTTAGTATATGTGAAAATCAAATGACAAATTCAAAAAAACCACCGGTTGTCTCAGGTCCTTCTTAACAGAAAGTTCTACAGTAGCTGCAGTTCCTGTCATCAGCATTCTCCACATCAGTGGAACCATCTCTTTATTTACCTGCCTAGAAGCTTCAGATTGCTTCTTTGTTTTGTCTTCCTTTTCGAAATTCTGAAAAAAATTCCTGCCACTCAATTCCTTTGTTGGGAAATGCAAATTCAGGGTAGTGTGTAAATGCTATGCTAAGGGTTTGCAGCACAGGGTGCCAAGCTACTGATTTATCTTCCCTCACTGTCAAGGACACCAGCAGTCGGAGGGTCTCAGGTCTCTGTTAAGGAGGGTGAAGAAATGCCAGTGTATTCAAACAACAAAACAAATGTCATGGTGTTTCGACGGTCTTCTCTTAGAATGTACTCTCTCTCCTGTATATACAATTTAAATGTAATGTTAAGGCCTCAAAATTTAGTAGTATAGTTATTTCTTGATTATAATGGGAGGGAACAGTGGTATGAATTATAAAAATTTATTGGATTTTGAAATGAAGAGCCTTTGAGTTTGTAACTTTACTCTCTTAATCAAAAAGAATTGACTTTGGAGTCATCTTGGCATTGCTACTTAGTAACATTACTTAATCACTGTGCCTTGGTTTCATTAGTTAATTAGATAAATCAAAATAAGAAAAATTGCTTACTTCATGTTTTTTGTGAGGAATAAATGAAATAATATGTCAAGTGTCTAGCTATTCTCATCTCCTATTTTAAACTACAGGATAATCTAAAAATCTCTTTGCATTCCCAGAACTTCACATTAGGAAGGCAGAATGTTATGAAGTCAATAGTCCTGGTAGTTGGGAATTCTGTATTCTAGTTCTTGGGCCAACACTGGCCTGCTGTGTGACTTTGGACAAGTCACTTTTATAGTCATCTATAAGATGGAATTCTTAACAGCTGTTTCTACTTCACACGTTTCATTTTTCATTCATTTTACAAATAGTTAGCAAATGCCTGCTAGGTGCCAGGCATTGGTGAGTAAGTTAAATAAGACAAAGCCCTCCCTCATGATTCATAGGTTCTGCTGGAAGGTAGGAAAAACACAGATAAATGAGAAAAGAAGGCAGTTCTGGTGATGGAGAGTAATTGGGAGGTGTGGCGTGGTGGGGGTGCTATTTGAGACAGTGGTTAGAAAAGGCTTCTTTGATTGTGTTGAGAATTCCATTTGGCATTGGAACCATGGATGCCCACAGGGAACCGTCCACAGTGTCCATGTGGACCAGCAGTGCAGGGGGGTGAGATCTCTCTGTCCTCATGTGGTGGAGGAGTTGGGGCCCTCAACAAGTAATTGGGAAGCAATTGGTGCAGGTGCTGAGGCTGTAGGGATATAAAAAGGTGAATAATCCAGACATACAAGGTGAGGAAAGGCTTTTTGGAGCAGTGACACTTAAACTGAGTCCTGAAAAACAAGTGGGCTGGCCAGGCAGAGGGAGAGGAGGGGAACCTGTGGAAAACACTCATAAATCAGACAGAACGTGAAAGTAGTTGTGTGGAAAATGTATGAATAATAAATATTGTTATGCTTCTTAAAGTGTTATTACATGATGGCAGAGGAGGTGATTCAGAAGGTGTTAAATAATAATGAGTTAAAATTTGATGCTGATAATTTGAAATTTGTGTAAGGATTATAGACTATAGCAACTGGACATCGTCTAGCATTTCAAAACAACAGTGTTTCCACAATTATATTACTTTATGATTTGTGGATAAATTCCATTTTTTTAAAAAAAACATACTTTATACAGGAACATTGTCCATTTTGAATTTCAAGTTAATAGAAATGGACTACGTGATCTATCTTATGATTCCAGGGCCTGTCACACCACAAGACAGCCTTACTTTGGAGAAGGGGATCGAGTTGATTATCATTTCATATCTCAAGAAGTTTTTGATGAAATGCTAAACATGGTAAGAATGTTTGCCTTTATTTTTATTGCACAAGAAATGCATATTCTCTAGCAGGAATATTAGGAAATAATTAAAAAGGGAAAAATTAAGTTTTGTACTTTTTATGAGAGTTAAGTTCTTATTGGGTTGTTTTTTCTTAAACTACTTAATACATCATTCTTCACCTGCTTTTTTATTTTATGATGTTGGATAAAATATTATAAATTTCTAATAAAATGAATGAGTAGACATTTTAAGGACATAGAAGTAAAAGCACTACAAAAAATTCTTGTGATCTGTGCTTGTACATGCAGCTGCTATTAATCTGATTTTACTCAAGATGAGCAGTTCTGACTTGATGCAGAGAGCCTGGGATTTGGGCATTCTTGGGGGGTAGGGGTGTTCTGTCTAGGGATTACTGCATCCGTGTGTTATCAGTGGTGCTTTCTAATTGTTACAACCTTGAGCACGGTTTCATTAGAGTGTGTCCCACTTAGCTGGCTCGTTCTGGACACGTTACCTTCCGCGGTAACATTTCCATTCGAGCAGTCTGAGTCTTGAAGGCCAGGAAGTTTGCTAATGCCGATGGAAGCCCTTGCTAGGAGACAGAAGGAGATTCCTAATTTCTCTGAGGACTGTATCTTTGCTAGGCTAGAGGAACTACCCTGCATTAGTCCATTTCATAGGAGCTCAGGGTAATCTTGTTCAATTTAAATTTTGTGTTTTGTGGTTGTTTTTCGTTTGTTGTTTTTTTTTTTTTAACCAAAACCCTGATAATCTTGTCATTGGTAGTAATTCACACAACACCTTTGTCTTTGAATTCATTTTCTTCAAAACAATTTATTTCTTCCTTCTTAGCCTTCATGTGCAAAGGCAATCCTCACAACCCTGGGATGTTTTATCTGTGGAAAATATATCTAATGTCAATACATATTAGCCCATGACTTCCGTTAAACTGAAAGAGTATCTCGTATCTTTATTACTATCAATGAATTTGTAAAGCTTTTATTTTTTTCTTCACCATGGGCCTTATTTTTATTTATATCATCATTCTTTCTTTTACCAAATGAATGCTACACCACTTTTTTTCCCTTGAAGCCTACCGAAGGACCAGATGAGGTACTAATATGTTTCCGCTTTCAAAAGATTACCATCCAACAAGCGATGCTGGTATAGCTAATCTCCACTCCCCTCTTTTCCCTTCTCTTTCCTTCCTCCTTTCTCTATTCCCACCCCAAATAATGGATGTGGCTTGTACCTCAGTGCACATAATTATGAAACAGTTAAGCCTGGGCTCTGCAGTTTCTGTGAGTTTAATTCCAGAGCTTCTCATGTTCACAGAGAAACACAAGTGAGAAAGTCCTATAATCCCTAGACAATTCTTCCTCTAACCTTGTCAAAAGAACATCTTGGAAATTCTTTATAATTTTGTCTCCTTAAGGCTATATTTTGAAAGTTCACTTTAATTTATTAAGAGTACTCTGGGACTTCATATTTCTAAAAGCCTTAATAGAGATTTGGGAAGTTATCTTGATATTAGTAGGAGGCATTCTCTTAGGACTCTTCAGGTTGAAAGTCAACTAGTTCCCCAAATTAACGTTCCTTTCTCTTGTTAGAGTATGCAGTGCTTTTTTCTTAGTTCAGTTCATCTGTTCTCAGTGCCCCATATGCTCCCCTGATGTTCCATACCTTATTTGATCTGTAATCAAGTTAGTCTGGTTCAATTCCTAACAAGTCACTGTACTTCTATACTATATTTATAGTTTTACTCCCTCTACAAAACCCCCCGTGTGTCTGAGAAGTACTCAATTTTACTGCTTCTGTTAACATATATTATGTCAATGTAATGTCATTTTCTTCAACTTGAGTTTTGCCTCTGATCTCCTTTCTTTTCTTCATCCATGTGCCTCCTCCAACAAACACCCCTCCCCCACACACAGATCATCTCCCCCTCTGCCCACAGACACGCGAACCCTTTTTATGGACAGGTACACAGTCACTTACCCACAGAAACTCTCCCTCTCTTGTGGAAATAAAATCACAGACCTGGATATTTTTAAAGTATGACGATTGTTGTTTATTAGGGAATCCACAAGGAACATCACCAGCCCGAGTGGAGGGTGGCCACTTCATCTCAGTTTTTAACACAGCATTTTAGCGGGGTCTCTTTTATGTGTACATACAATACAAGATTTCTCCCAACCATACCTCCTTCCAGAAAATGGTGTTTTGGGATCCACAGAGGAAAGTCCTTGTACACATAAGTAAACAAACTTACAGTATACATCTGAAAGGTAATTCAGGTATACATTTTGAAGACAGGGCGAGTCGCAGAGCCAGCAGGATGTGTGTATGCACAGAAAGAGATTCCGCACAAGGAACTGTCTCACGTGGGTGTGGAGACTGGCAGGTCCGAATCTGCAGTGTGGGCCTGGCAGCCTGGAGATCCCGCGCAGCCGCTGGTGCAGGCGAAGGCCAAAGGCTGATCTTGTTGTTTATTCAGCTGATTGGATGAAGCCCACCCACATTATGGGGGCAAGTCTTCTTCCTCAAAGTTCAGCAATTTAAATGTTAATCTCATCCCCCAAACAGCCTCCAAGTTGACACAAATAATTAACCATCATACACGGTAAACAAGAAAAGGCACACACCTGAAAGGAGAGCCGGATAGCTATCCATCTAGATATAATGTATATATTAAAAGAAAGGGAGTCACGGTATTTGTTCCAAAGAACAAAGAGAGTATGACATCGAAGGAGTAAATATTAAAGGTGTTTCTTGTTGAGTTTTTAACTCTAGAACACGGATCACAACTCCTTTTGATTATAGGGGATGTGGCTTTTCCTCATCACCTGTAGCAGACACATTCCCCAGAGGCCCACCCAACCCCTGAGAGATACCCTGTGCCTTCTGGCCTTCCAACACCTCTCCCCGGACAGATAGCACGTCCCCCACTCACACATCTGCAGAACATCTGGGGCCGGGGGCACAGGGCAGCTGTGGGCTCTTAACTGCAGCTGCTGCCATTTGATGGGATTCCGTGCAGCCCTGGAAGTTTTCACTTCACTGTTTATTTCAAAATCGTGTATACGAGGAGTCAGACTGGCCAAGGTCATCCGCGTTTTCATTCCTTCTATCGTCGTCAGCCTCCTAGTTTAGATTCGACCTCATGGTTTAATAAATAGAATATCGTCAAAGAAAAAGTCATACACAATTTTAAGAGACATGTTTTCACTTGCATTTTTTTTTTTTTGCAAGGGAATACAGTTTTCAGAAGAACTGAGCTTCCAGAATACAGACAGAAGGTGGTATTTATAGTTCAAATGACTATAGGACAGACACCAATTCTGTTGAATAACATTTGGGACAGGCAGTTTCAATAAAAAGGTATCTTTATGAAGAAAAACAGGATAGGTCTGTTTTTCAAAGCGTTTAGGATGTCCCTGCAATTCATGACCTTCAGAAATTACCTGTAATTCCTGCCTTATCTTGGAATGCAAGGCTTTTGGAAATGGAAGCCTTTCCTGGGCTACCTGGAATGCTGGCATAGCTGGAATGGCAGAGACACAGGGCAGGCTGTTGGTTTTGCTCTCTCAGTAATGAAGGCTTGTGGTGTGGGTTTGGCAGGAAGTAGGTAAGTAAGCAAAATAGTCCGTCCTACCCTAAGCTTCCACGCTTTAACCCCCCTCTAACATTTTGTCAGCACATTATTTCCAAAAACCTAATTTTTTTGTCAGCTGAGAATTCGGAATAAATTTCTCCGTCACAGTTGGAGATTAAGTTTCATAACCCCATTGTCATTCTTACGTAGTTGCTAATATTTGTAGGCTTTATGAAATTATATAGAATAAAACTTCAAATGGCTTTACTTATATTAAATTCCATTATGGCCACTGTTATATGAAAATCTTTGTTCTTCTCAAATTCCAGGGGAAATTCATTCTCACATTTAGTTATGGTAATCACAATTATGGATTAAGTAGGGACACCATAGAAGGTATCGCAAGAGATGGTTTAGCAAGCTGTATTCACATGGAAATAGAAGTAAGTGTTTTTCATTCAATCAGCTCACGTGTATGTGAGTTTGTGTGTGTGTGTGTGTGTGTGTATGTATATCTTTAAAGTTTTTATTTATACATAATGGATGTACATATTTTCAGGGTACACATGATCAAATATATGTGTATACTTGAGGTTGGGGAGAGGGGCTTCGATGTGCAGGCAGCATGCTGCTGGACACAAGAGAAAGGGGGGATCATTCCATTTATAATTAGCATGGGGAGGCAAGACACATGAAGAATTAAGTGACAGGTGTTAGATCACAGTACAAGAAATTGCACATATACTGTGAGTATAACTACCACGCAAGGTTTCTTTTCTCAGTTATATATATCCTCACTACATTATCCTTCTTCTATTTAGAACATGGTCTCTCTGTATATAAAGTGGTGTTAGATAAAAGCTGGTCCTTACAAGGTGTGGAACTAGCTCCCTGTCTCCTCAGGACAATGGCAGCCCAGTGTAGATGACCTTATTCGAAGGAGATTTGCAGGAGATGTGTGCACGGTGCTGTCACTTGACCCCACTGGACATCGTGTTTTCATACTTCTGGCAATTTAGACCGGCAGATTTTAGGAAATTTTTTTCTCTGCCCCAATATCTCATCTTCCCCCAACAATCTTCTGTAAATAGAATATACAGAAGCTTCTCCAAAATTAAGATCCAGAGTAAAACTATGAATTTCCCACTTTAAAAATATATAGCTTTATGAAATACTTGAAATCTTCAAAGATAGTTGATTGTTTTTTCAAGTTACCTTCGCCGAAGAGTATAACAATTTTGTAATCAGAAAAGCCTGTAATCCTAGCACTCTGGGAGGCCAAGGCGGGATGATTGCTTGAGCTCAGGAGTTCGAGACCAGCCTGGGCAATAGTGAGACCCCCGTCTCTACTAAAAATAGAAAAATTAGCTGGACGTCATGGTGTGCACCTGTAGTCCCAGCTACTCAGGAGGCTGAGGCAGGAGGATCACTTGAGCCCAGGAGTATGAGGTTGTAGTGAGCTGTGATGACACCACTGCATTCTACCCAGGGAGACAGAGTGAGACTCCCAAAAAAAAAAAAAAAAAAAGATATAAATGATTCAATTAGGCCAAACTTACAGAAAACAAAACCTAGGCAAATTGGGTACATATTCCTTCACTGTTGACTCTGAATCTTTTTGCTTTTTTTCCTTTGTAACTTTACAGAACAGGAGACTGTAATTCCCTTTTGGCTCCTTTTGCTGGTGTAAGTGTCCCCAGCTTCAGTGAAACTGGTCACATAGTTTCCAGTTCTTTTCTGACTTCAGAATATTTCCATTCTTATCTCTCTGTAATTAATTGATTTTGCATCTTTAAGGAGGGTTTTCTTTGTTTCTGTGCTACCTAGCAAAAAAACAAAAAAAGATCTTTCTCTAAAAAATTTCTTCCTTGGACAAGGCAGAAACAAAAATTAATGCATTTTTGAGTGCAGAAACTCTCCATCTTTTGTGTCTACCTTTTTCCACTTCAACAGATATCTGAGTGATGGCTCCTGTTTACTTTTTTCTCCTTGAGACTTTACTCTTACTCATTTCCGGGAGGTTGAGTCTATAATCCATGCTTCATTCCCCCAATTCTCTCCAGCTGAAGTATTTTTCCAAACTGCCCTTGTCATTGACTCTTTCAGAAATCATTTTTAAAAGAACCTGTATTTCTTCCCACTGAATTTTTAAAACAAAGATTTTAACATTGAGTTAAGCTGATGATGATAGAATTGAGATGGAAGGGACTTTGAGAGTCCATCTGGAATAATTGACTCCCATGAGGAAACTGATACCCAGAGAGCTTGAAGGATGTACACAGAGTCCACAGGAGCTGGAGAGCTGCCACAACCAAGCTCTCCGGATCCACAGACTGGTACTCTACACAGCTTCACACTGTGAGCTCCTGGTTAGCAGACTACCATGAGCTTGGCCTTCCCAGCTCTAGACAGAGGCTATGAGATGTCATTGGAACCAGCCCAACCAGGTTGCAGGTTTAGGAGCAGGAACCTAAGCTAATGACAAGGCCTAACAGAAGAGCCTTTTCTCCCTGGGGAGATCTCTATCTCCTGGTGCTCCGAAGAAGCTTATGAAATATAGAATTGAAATTACTTTTCAGTAATAAAATTGCATTGCTGCCATGATATACCTATTTTATATCCAGCAGTTTTCTTTTTTAATAGTCATATTCATTAGAATGATTAATTAGAGTAAAACCAGGTGGAATGAATTCTAATATTCCCAATGACAAATTAATATTTGATGAAGAGAAAAAAGTAAGCCAACCTTGAGATATTTATAGAAAAATAGTAGCTAATTATACAGATAAAATAAATTCTTCATTATGAATGATACTACTTCTTATACCCATGTTGTCAGATGTCTCCAAAATGATTTCTAAGTCATGTATCTGTTTCCAATTTATTATCTTTCTTTAAATGCATAGGGTGTAAGAAGTTTGAAATATTCCTATTTTGAGCCTCGATATATCCTGGTGGTACCCATGAACAAGAACAAATATGAGGGATACTTAAGGAGAAAAGGATTATTCAGTCGTGCAGAAATTGAATTTGCTGTCTCCAGAGTGGACCTTTATACTAAAATTAATCAGAAATTTCCAGGATATTTTGATGCAGTTATCAATGCAGGTCAGTAACTTTTAGCAAAGTTTTATTTTTGAAACATAAGGTCACTGGTTTAAAAGTTTGTTTCATGGGATGAAAATTCCTGGGTAGAAGATATTTTCTGTGTAACAGTGAATCACAAAGAACTTCAAAAAGAGGTAAGAATCCAAGAGGTCCACCCTTCCACTGTTTTAATCAGAGGATTATCTCTATTATTCCTTAAGATCTTGACTGATAAGATTTGGTGTAAAATGAGCCTGGATTAGGTTCCTTTTTTAGGAGACATTGTGAGAACAAAGTAAGATAATATATAATTTGAAATACACATATAAATTTCTGAAAGGTATATGAAACTCAGGAAATTTTATCAGAATCTACATATAGGTAAAAACACAACTACTAAAAATGTCATAGCCATGAAAATATCTGGTTAAAACAAATATTTTCAAAAACTATCTTAAAAATGTCCACTTACATGAAGCAATAATCAGAAGGAGAATTTATTGAATATGAAAATTTCTATATATTTTTAAATTATACTATATTATACAATCATAAAAAGGAATGAGAAAACATTCTGTGTATGGACAAGGAAATATCTTCAAGCCATGAAGTTACTAAAAAAGACAGGTTCCCCACAACCATAGGTATACATAGTAATCATATTTCTTATACTACATAAATCTCTGGAAGAACCCTCAAAAACTTAATAACACTGATTACATTACATTAGGTTGAACCACATGAAATTTCTGAATCAACTATTTTGACCTATGAAAACAGAAATTTAGTAATTTTTGATCTCTGAAACATGTTGATGTATTACATAGTTACATTTGTTTTCTATTCCTGCACAGAAATTATTGTACTTGGTGGCTTAAAACAACACCCATTTATTAGCTCACAGTTTTGTAGATTAGAAGTCTGATATAGAGTAACTGGATTCTCTGCTCAGGGTATCAGGAGGCTGGAATTAAGGCATCAGCCTGGCTGAGGTCTCATCTGAAGACTCTGAGGAAAAACCTGCTCCACGGTTCATTCTTGTTGGCAGAATGCAGTTTCTTGTGGGTGTAGAGGACTGAGGGCCCAGTTTCCTTATTGACTGTCTTCCAAGGACTGTCCTTACTTCCTAGAGGCTGCTCCCAGGTCTTATCCATGTGGCCCCCACCGTGTTCAAGCCAGCAACAAGACATTGAACCCTCCTTGTGCTTTGAATCCCTGACTTCCTCTTCTGCCACCAGCTGGAGAAAACTCTCTCATTTTATGGGACTCTTGTGATTAGGGTGTGCCCACCTGGATAATCTCCCTTCGGACTAACCCAAAGTCAACCCATTAGAAACCTTAATTACATCTGCAGAAATCCCTGTTGCCATATAATGTATAATAAATAATCATAGGAGTGATATATCATTGCATCCACAGGTTCTGCCCATACTTAAGGAGGAGATTGTCCAAGGGATGTGTCGTTAGGGTAATTTTAGAATTCTGCCTACCACAATATGCATAAAATTAAATGTAGTGAATAAATCATTACCACCATTGGTTGAACACTAACTGTATTTTGCTATGATCCTGTTGCTTTAAAGTATACTCTCCCATTTACTATAGATGATCTGGACGTTGCCTACCAAACGCTGAGTCAGCTCATTAGAGAATACCTTGGATTGACTGAGGAGACTGCCAAGAGTTTGGTTCCAGCTGCAGGTACTATCCTATCCCCTTTATGCCAGAATAGTTTTTTTCATGGAAAGGAAAAAAAATATCTGAGTTATTATTTGGGTACTCATCTGCCAGGCTAAAGCTGGCTCTCTTTAATTCCTATACTACTTCTGGGTGATTGTCCCCACAAACTGCATGAGTTAGCCTTCTGAGCCTATGACTCTGCTGTGTCCATGACCAAAAAGGAATTCAGGGGACATGCTGGGCAGTGCCTTGGAGGTAGGTAATAGATAAGGGTTAGCCTCATGGTTCAGACCTCAGCCTTCCAGAAGTTTAGTTCCTTTTGGGGACTGAGGTATTACTCTACTTGTCAGGTTTGTATTTAGTCCAAGAGTTTCTGTCCAAGAATTTCAGTGTAAGAGTTTTCTTTCCCCCTTTCTGCACATCGCCCTGGTCCTAAAAATGTTATACTGCAGGATATAGTGGAAAAATCACTGGCCAGACGATGTGATCCCAGTCCTGGCCCTGCTGCTCTCCGGGGCAGGCTGCTTAGCTGTTCTGAGCTTCAGTTAACTCTTCCACTGAATGGACCTAATGCTCCCCATCTGCCTCAGGGGTCATGAACAGCAAGTAATTCTCCTTGGAATCCAGGAATTCTAAAGCCCTAACTTGGAATTTTGGTGCATGAGTACTTTGAGACGTATTTAAAGGGCTCTCCCAAATCCACCTCACAACCATTAGGATGGTTACTATAAAAACAAAACAAAAAATAGAAAATAACAAGTGTTGTCAAAGGATGTAGAGAAATTAGAACCCTTGTATGCTGTTGGTGGGAACGTAAAATGGTCCCGTACTGTATGGGAAACAGTATAGTGGTTCCTCAGACAATTAAACACAGAATTTCCATAAGATCCAGCAGTTCTACTTGTGGGTATATTCTCAAAAGAATTGAAAGCAGAATCTTCAAGACATCACTGCACACCCATGTTCATAGCAGCATTATTCACAATAGCCAGAAGGTAGAAGCAATCCAAGTGTCCACCAATGATGAATGGGTAAACAAAATGTGATATTCACATAAAATAGAATATTATTCAACCTTAAAAAGGAAGGAATTCTGGCACATGCTGCAACACGAATGAACCTTGAAGACATTACGCTAAGTGAAATAAGCCAGTCACAAAATGATAAATATTGCATGATTCCACTTATACGAGGTACCTAGAATAGTGAAATTCATACAGACAGAAGGTAGAATGGTGGTTGCCAGGGGCTGGGAGACAGAAGTTGTTTCAGTTTGAGAAGATGAAAAGAGTTCTGGAGATGGATGGTAGTGATGGTAGCGTAACAATGTGAATATATTTAATGCCAGTGAACTGTACACTTAAACATGGTTAAGATAATATATTTTATATTACGTGTATTATACAACAATAATAATTTAAAAAGGTCCCCTCAATGGACTGAACCCCATTTACACATCACACGTTGTAAAGTGTTAATCCAAGACTCTTGCTGCTTTGCGGATGCCATGCAGCTTTGTTTTAACCTTGGCGACTCTTTGCCCCAGTATGATTTTATTGCCTGGTTGCATCCTGGCAGACTGAGCCAGGCCTGGTCATGATTTTGCCAGAGTTCAAGCCAGTCGTGCTGTTTTACAATTTTGCACGTTTCCCAGGCCCAGTGCCCGTGGTATTTTGTAATGAAATCAGTGTGAACTATATGTCTCAGGAGATGAAGAGACCAAGGTATGACCTGCTGCCTGGAACATTCCCAGAAAAAGTTTGACCTGTCTGAAAATCGGCATTAATGTAGGACTGGAGGACTGTGCTCAGTCTACAAGGGGGGGCACATTCAATTAGGAGCAGGTCAGTGTACTTACCCAGCCCTGCTCTGCTTCTCCGCATCAGGCCTCTGCTCCTAGAGAGCCATGACTGTGGAGGAGAGCAGCACCGTGAACCTAACAAGGCTTCCACAGCTCATCTCTTGAGGAAATCTGACTCCCTTTGCTTTAATTTTTTGCTAACCAAGTAAGCTTGTGATCTTTAATTTGGTCCCCCCGGGTGGACCTGCCCCTGTGGGGCTGTACCCTATGTTACAACACCCTTCTCTGATGCTCAAGCCAGTCCCATCTCCCTTTGTAAATTAATTAATTGGCATCCTGACTTTTAAATCAGCCTCTTGTGGGTTTGGATAAACATGAGTCAGTCCCCTGAGCCTGACCAGTTCTGAATAACTGAGAAGCGCCTGTTTCTGAATCTGTGGGTGCCTCTGAATGGCGGTGCTTGAACAGGACTTTGCCTCGACAGCCAGGAGGCGCCATCTCTGTATCTTAATCTATAACTGTCAAGACTGACAACGGGGTGCAGTTGCCTTTTGGCAGATTAATAGACCAGATAATGTGTGCATAGGAAAATGGACTCTCGTTTTACAGAGTATAATAAAGCTTTATTTGTTTGTACTAATTAGATTAGGCCTGTCTGATTTAATGAAAAGTGTGAATTATAGAATTTGTAAATGTGTTATTACTCTCTGATACATTTCATAACTGAAACCGAGCCATCCAGTTATTGACTAATAGAATTCCGGCTTTAAAAAGTAGATAGGAGAATTTGTCATCACTGGCCTCGACAGAACTTTGTTTTTCTGGCAGGCTTAATATTTGTGAAAACAATGTGTTTTCTTAAGCCACCCACTTTGTCTTTATTTATACAATTAATTTGCGGAAGAAGTTACTTTTTTCAGTTGATGGTTTAAGAATGAATTCTCACATAAACTGACATTGTGGAGGTCAGACATTATTCAAGCATCCCAAAAATTCTAATGACTGTGGTCCTTATTAATAAGCTTTTGTCTCTAATGATCTAAGAAGTAGAGCCAGTGAGCGCTCTTAGTTTCAGGGCTATGATGAATGTGCCAAGGAGCATGGGCCAAATGTTTACAGGTTCGGTGCAGGAAGCGGGGGCCCAACCATAATTACCTTAAAATGAATAGCAAGATTCTCGGGAAGGGGCCCAGAGCCTCAGCAGAGTCACTGTCATGGGCCTGGCTGGTGCTTCGCCTCTTTGCTTCTGCTCTGAGCTGGGTCCCGCTGATTTTAAGTTTCTGTAGTTTAGGTATATTTACATAAAAACTCACATT